GTAACAAAGTTGGGGGCGTTCGGTTTTCCCGGCAGCTTGCCCGGAGCGTTCGCGGTTTCCCCAGCCCCAGCCCGAGCCCCCGCCCTTTCGGCGGCTTCCGCGGCGGCGGCGGCTGGGTTCGGGGACGGCGCACAAACGGCGGCGGGGACCGGGACGCCGGCCCCGGGTGCGAAGGCGGCGGGGGGGGGGGGAGCCGGCGGCGCGGCGAATGACAAGCTTGTGCAGCTCAAGAAGGAGAAGCGAGTGCTGCACGTGATGCTCAAGAACTTCGAGAAGGAGTTTAAGGAGAAGAATGGCCGCGAGGTAGGTTTGTTGTGTACTGTTAACGAGAGGAGCAAGAAGGAGAAAAAGAGGCTTGCTTCGTTCACACTCTCTGGGTGGTCTTTTTTTTTTTTTCGTTTTTGATATTTTCTTGTCCCCCATTTTTTACGCTTGATGATTTTTTATAGGGTATTCCTTGGTTCAACAGAGATTTTTTTTTTGTTGCCTCTGGAGAACAAAGGGGATTGCGTACTTCCTGCATCGTTTTTTTTTATTTTTGAGAGCATTTTCTGGTGTGTGAACAAAACAACAAGCTATGACAAGCTTGGCGTTGTCGCGTCTTCCTTGCGCCTCCTGGTCCATTATTGTTTTGTTCGTTCTAGAAAGGATTATCCCTCTTGTGGTAAATGGCTTGTGACCACGGAAGGCGTCCGCGTGAGTTGGACCGAGAGTACGGATATAAGAAGGTACTGAGCGGAGACCGGAACGGTTTATAGTGTGAAGAAAACAACAGCAACAACAACAACAAATGAACTCTCGCGAAACAAACCCTGAGCAGGTGAGCTGCCCAGAAGACATCGCCCCGGTGGAGGGCGAGTACCAGAAGTACAAGATGATCAAGAAGCGACTGGCTCAGCTCACCAAGTAGCGCGGTGCGGTGCGGTGCCGTGCGGTGCGTTCGTGTGGGCGAGATCTATGAAAACCGTCGTCGGTGACGGACCTGCCTGTGGCCTGGGTTGACTTCGCCGCGGGTCGTTCGAAAAGCGGGTCAACGGACAACAGAACCGGTGTTCTTCTCCTCGTTTCACGCGAAGCTAGCTTCCTTCCTGTTGTCTTTCTTGTGGATGTCATTCCCAGCGCGAGATGGGAGCGGTGCACATGGGGACGAGCAACATTGCCCGCGGTAGCAGGAGAGAGGGAGGCGTGAGCCTCTGCGCTGCACTGCTGTCGGCGTTCGTCGGAGTTACCGGATGGTCTGGTATTGTCGACGTGGTCCGCAACCACACCCTGCTGGACCATTGGTTCTAACCCCTTTCTTTTTGTTCTGTGTACGATCTGTAAGGCAGGCAGCGAGCGGTGCGATGGTGCGGTGTGTGTGCTGTAAATTGGCGGTGTTTTCAGTCTAGCTAATCTAGCATTTGTGCTATTGTGTTTTGTCGTAATTTATCGTCCCATGCTCAAGAGGTAGTTCGTTGTTTGTTTTTTTTTCGTTTTTTTTGTTCTGTTTTTTCAGGTGTCGCACCGTCAAGGGCTATGTATGAGCACACGTATACCATTTATTATTTTTTGGCCAACACCATGTGTCACTCGGGAGAAAGTAGGTGCCTCCTTTGGGTGTTGAAATCGCGAGGACGATGTCGTTTGATGTTGATGTTATGTTTGGGCGCGGTTTTCGATTACGCCCTCTGTCGAAAAATAATGTCTGCCTGCGTAGGAGAAAACCGATCCGATTCAAAGAGCAAGCACGTGCTTTGGTCGGTCCACGATTGGAAGAACTCTCTGAGGCAACCGCCGGGGTAAAAACAGCGCCTTGATTGTTTTCGTTTGATGGTGCAGCTGCTCGTGGGGGCTGACCTTCTTGTTTGATGTGTTCGAGTTGCAGGGCAATTGGGAGTTCCCAGTGTGTAGAAAGTGTCCGGTCTCAATGAAGGGCGTTCGTATGCGTGTCCACAGGGCTAATTTTGCTGCTGCCGAGCGTTAGGGCAGGGGCGGCTCGGAAATGGCCGTTGTTGGGGTACTTCGGTGGTCACGGCTCGACCTGGTTGGTCGGAGCATGTGTGGTGCGTGCGTGTGTGTGCGCGCGCACATGGGCTTGCCACCCACCCTTTAGAGCACGTGGCGATCGATGCCAGAATAGTCGCCAGTTGCGGTCTGTTCCTACACAACCGGATGCATTGCTCTTCTTGTGGCTCCAGACCCTCCCCCCCCCCCCTGGGGGAACTTCTCCGAGATCACCCGCCCATCGATGTACGTGTCTTCGGAGTGGGTTTTACGCCCACCCGCCTACATACTATGTCCGTGCGTGCTTGTGTTTTTGCCCTCAAGCTGGGTGTGTTCGTGCGGGAAAAAAAGATTGAACCGCATCATTTTTTCCCGGCTGCGTTTTTTTTGTTGTTGTTCGGGTCGCCTGGGTCACGGTGTCGAATGATCCGTCCGTCTGTTTTCTACTTCGAAGTACAAACCTTTGTGTTTTTATCGCGATCTGTTCTTGTTTCAAAACCATTGTTTTGCCCCCATTCTCCCCACCCGCTCTGTTCTCTCTTCTAGTGAGTGCGATAAATGACGATTCGTGAATAGCACGGGTGGGTGGTCTAATAAAAGCGCAGGATTCTATGTGCAATCACGGTTACAGCAGCAGCAGAGGTGTGTGCAAGTACGGAGCTACAAGTCAGCTATTTTGATGTTTCACGGACCCATGGCAGGCGTTCGACGGTACGAGGTTTTGACCACATAATTGTTGGTTGCAAAACAATACCAACAACGAAGCCAAGCCCCTTCTTTCCCCAACCCGCTCTCTACTGTCGGGCTAAAATAAAACTGGGCGCGAGATCGAGCTCGGGCCCCCCGAGCAATGCTACATAATATAAACTTCAAGTATGTGTTGCGGAAGAAACGGCAGACAACGATTAAGAATCACGCGCTGTTGCGCGTCCGAGGAGACACGCGGTCGGCGATCAGAGTCATTTTCGCGATGACGATGTAGCAGCGGCAGCAGCAGTGGCCCCTGTGTAAAGGGGTGTTGATCAGGCCGGTCGCCCCGTAAGTGAAACCGCGTTGACACGGTACATGTAGCATTTTCGAAGGTGTCTCGTGCTCGGTTTATGTGGCCGATCAAATTCCTCGGCGCTATGCGGCCGTCCTTACACACAGAGTACCCACCACTGGTGGAAAGAAGCACCCCGTAGACGGAAGGAAGGCGGAAAAAAAAAAAAAAACTTTGTCGCGTCCGAGACCTGCAACCAAGCGTGTGGTATCATATCACCAGGCGGTGTGACCACGCACACAAAGCTGCTGTAGGAGAGGTTGCGGTTAGCGTCTCAGACCAGCGATCCTTGCACACGTACGTACGTATGTCGTGTGGGGGGAACCAACATAACACAATGTTTGCCTCTGGCGGTATTTGGATCACGTACACCAACAAGACGTTTCGCGTGTAGACACAAACACACACGGCGGGTGGCCCCCGCGTCCCAGCATACACAGCAGTACGGCAGTGTCGTAAGCTGGGGAGACGCGCTCATCCTTCAACATGGCGGCAGAAGTAGTGCCCCCTCCTGCACATGTGCACCAGGTGTCTTGGACAGAAATTCCACGGTGGACCATATCCAGCGCCGGCGAAACCCAGACTAAACCATACACAAACGCAAACACATTCGCCTAGAACAGAGGAACGACTGCAAGGTTTGTGCCCTGAGGGCTTCTTTCTTCCGCAGCGGCCTTTCCCTCTGCATGACTAACGGCTGTTTTCGGCCAAAGCGCCGTCGCGCGCACTACGTAGCCACCAAACGTTCTACGGGCAACCGACAGACCGCACTGCCGTACAGGAGCATGGCGCGCCTCCTCCTCCAGCCCCCACTGCGCATTCAGTAACACCATGGCCACGGCCACCGTCATCTCTCACGCTAACGCCGACCATGAGACCGATGAGGACCGCAAACTGCTGTGGTAGGTATGAACAACGCACCACACCAAACAACAACAACAACAACGACGACGACGACGACGACGACGACGATCCAAAACTGGTGAGATCGAGCGAGCCGGGTGCCGTGAGGCGAAGAATAATTTGCAACAACGTTACGGTCCACTCCTCCGCATGAAGCCAAGAATCCACGATCCCATCCAACCGCTAAGAGTTGTCAGGGGAGAAAGCCCGCCCGCTGTCAGCCGAGCAGACTGGGCGCCCAGCCCGGAGTGCAAGTCGGAGGAGACTTCTACTGCTCCGAGAGGATGGGATGCAGAGAGGGAAGGGAAGAACAGGAGCGACATCGGAAGGGAGGTTCGAAGCGAATAATTCAGAAAAATATTCAACACCCAGTCATGAAGCATGTGTTGTCAGCGCCGGTACTTCTCACGAACAAGCCTTCCACCACAAGGTTCCAACCGCGGCAAAACACCCACATGGCCGCTAGAACCGTTTCGAGGGTACCAACGAGACCAGCGGAGCGACCGCGTTTTATGGAAGGGAGGAAGCACACAAAGGCACAGGTGCTAAATAACTGTTCGTAAACTCGCCCCCCGAGTGCTAACTGTTGCATGGACATACCAACGGGGGGGGCATGGAATGTGTCTTGTCATTCGCTTCCCTACGGAAGAAAGGAAATCACCCCCCACGATTTTTCTCCCAGAGTCAAAAGGCGCAGCAAACCCAAACATTGCACGCGTTGTCCAAGCCTAAGCGTTCAGGATCCAGTTGCCCCTCGCAAGCAAAGCTCTGCGCAGCCCCCTGATAGCAGCATACCTTGTTGGGTTTCCTTCCTAGCGGCAGGAGCTCGTACCGATGCCCACGCGGGTACTGCACGCCGTGGACAAGCGACAAATCAACCATCGAGGGGGGAAGGGAGGCGGGAATACTCCTTGTTACGTTGTGTCGACCCACCAGAGACCCATGGAACTGGCGGAACAGAGCCACCAAAGTATGCAACTACCCGGCCAGCAACGCACCAAACACATCAGGGTGCATGACGCAACATGCCCAGGAATACAGTACGCACACACATTTCCATTGGTCAGTCGGTCTGCGCGATCGATGCTACAGCAACGAAACACACACGTTTGCACCAGCAACGAACAAACGCCATCAAGTACGTAAAACGCAGCAGCGCCGGGTCATTGTTCCTGGAAACAGGGTGGGTCGATTTATCAACGCCCGTTCAGGCAGACGTGGCGAACAATCCATCAACACAAAAACGACTACATGACGAGAGTCCGCAACCGCGGCAGGACCACCGCGCGAGGGTACGCCATAACGGCAAGGTTTGGGTTGTGCGGATGCTAACAAGCGATGAGTCGCATCTGCATTGGAGGAGGACCCGCTCCAAAAACCTTGAACACAACCGAACCAAGGGTTGCATTGGATGGGTTGGAGGGACGCAAGCCCGGGGCCTTGTCCGGTATTCTGGCGACTGCGATACAGTCAGCTCGTTTTCGGCAATAGCGTTCCCGAGCCCACACGGTAAGTGTTACTACTGTAGGGTCCACGGCAATCACCCTAATATAAATAGTGCGCTTCACCAGCCGGCACACAACAGTTGAATGCACAGCTCGGCGCTTGATGTTTGTTTTGAGTCTCTGCACGAGGAGCGACTTTGCGGTCGTCGCCCCCAATAACGACACCCACGACGGTGGGGCTCAGCGCCTTTCTCCCTCTCCCGAACACGTGGTAGGATGGGACAGCTTTACGACGGCTACGACGACAACGGCGACGTTACGACAGGTCTGCGCGTGCAAACTCACGCCATGGCAAGCTAGCCAAAACCCCGGGCGCGTCCGTCGCCAGGGGGTGAGGGGGTCTCCAAGTGCTGCCGGCGGCGGAGTCACCCTCGGGTGCGTTTTCGCTACAGGCGAACGCTCCGAATCCGCGACAGCGTTGGTTCCCCCGCCTTTCTTTTTGTTGTTGCCACGCCGGCACGCCCGCGTCGGTGTGGAAACCTTGTCGCTGTTTATGTTTTTTCACCGATTTGTTGGTGTGCGAACCGGGGGGGGGGGGGGAGGGGGGTGAGGAGGTTTGGCTTGGTGGGCGGACTGAAAGGAGTTAAACGGGGCGATCAAAGGAGGGCCAGAATCGCCTTGCTTGAGCGCCGCTTACTTTTTGCTGTTGTTGCAAAAGATTGAGCTTGGTTTCATTGGCAACTGATGGTGTGTGCAAGGCCTCCTGCCAGTTTGTGAACTGCAAACAAGGCTGCGAGCACACAGCCGTCGTCATTGGTGTACTCCAGTGTGCGTTCCAACTCCCAACATGCAGAGTTAGGGAAGACCCATTATTGATTTATTTCGTTGAGCAATGAGGTGTTTCACATTCACAGCGGCCGTGCTCTTAGCAGCAATGGTACATAGCGGCCAAGCAGTCACAGCTTCTCAAAGCAGCTTACCACCGGATGTAGACGACCCCCTTCTTCTTCACCACGTAGCAGTCCCGGCATATGCGCCTCACGGCGCTCCGGACCTGGCCCACAAAACAACACCGAAAGCAGACAACCGTTCCCCCAATACAACCGTTAGTCTAACTGCCGTACAGCAGGCGGGGGGTTGCGGAGGAGCTGCTGCTGCCGTCTGGCATGCTATTTATCATAACGAACGTCGTGCTCTAAAATGACAGAAGCAAGACGAACAGTATGTACCCGTTGAGTACTAGTACAGCAGCAACCGATCACAACAAGGCAACCGAACGCTGAGATAACCTCCGCAGTACTAGCAACGTGATGCCAGGCAGCTTTGTCCTTCGGCTACAACAGCAGCAGTATGCATAGTACTGCCGTCTTCCCCGTGTGGCTGCGTGCACGAGGGTGCTTTTCTGTGGCCGGGCCATCAGTGTCCTATCCTGACAAAGTACACCTTTTCATCAAAGTACACCAACTCACCCTCATCGATGTGTTTGTGGCAGACGACCGAACCAGAGGATATTCGGAATGGTTACGCTGTGCTTGCTTGCAAGCCCAGAGCTTGCTTACAAGCTGTGCTTTGCAGACGTGAGGGCCGGGATAATAGGTTCCGCCGCATTTGTTCCCGGGGGCGGTTCGCGCCAAACCCGGATCTGGAGCACGCCGTTGTGCGGGTTTCCACAACAATGAGCACGCGCGCCCAACGCCCAACGCGACGTGAACAACACAACGCGCCAGAGAGGGTAGAGGCACACATTGGCATTCGGCGGGTGCATGCGTCGGAGTGTTGACCTCACACTTCCGGTTGGAAAGGGCTTCTGTTAACAGGTGTAGCAGCTGCTCGAGAGGGGAGTTGGCGATTGACAGCCACATCTATCTGTCAGCGTTGCTCGTATGGAAGGCTACCACAACAAGGATGGCCCTGGCAGAGGGACAGGGGAATTTTCGTTGAGAAGATTGACGGGGAGGGGGGTGGTTCCTGAGAGGGTGCCCGCCCCAGGGAACCGGTGAACCCAACTTTTTCGTGTTTCGACCAAGGACGGTTACCTTTTGTCAATTGGACCAGTACGCATATAATATCAGAAGGCACTGAACAAAGACCGGAACGGCTTTTAATGTGAAGACAGCCTCTACCACAGGTTTCCGATCATGGGTCGATTGTTCCCGTCCAATTTGGCGGGCGGTGGGTTTGCGATGGCTGCCAGGGCCAACACGGCACGACGTGTACCTACGGAACGGCAGCGAATCGGTAGCAGCGGCCCCACTCTCCCGCTTGCAATGAATGGTATTTCACAGATCATCAAGGGTCTCATTACGACCCTGCTCGCTGGCTGCAGCTGAGGAAAAGGTCCATCAGCAGTATGTAACAACGCAAAAGGATCGGACACAATGTTGCGACGACGGCGAAATCTGATGGCGTATTGCGGAATTCGGCTTGACACACATGATTTTGGGAAAGGGCCAACCAAAACACAGAGTCGACACCCACACGGGAGGTCTTGGGCTAGACTGCGCCATATCCAGCGGCGCAAACCGACTGCTTCAGCGACAGCCGACGATTTTAGCCCATTCCTAACACTAAGAAAAAAGCGCAAGGTATAATTATTCCGCTATTTACGAGCACGGCACCAAGGAGCCCGGCCACGACCGAAGCAAGTTGGTCCTAGAAATGGAAACGTTTGCAGCAATGTTCTCGTCGAAGGAGAATGGGTGATCTATTGATTGGCCGGAGTCCCTCCATTACATTCTTGAATTGCCATTGCCACCCGCACGTCTCAATAGCCTCAGCACTTGATTGTCCAGCCACTGCAAGTGATCGCCCGGTTATGGCAACAGCCGCGCCTGCTCAGGAACGACGACGATGACCCAGGTGGCACATGTGTTGGAAGGAGATACCGCTGCATCCAGCGAGGAAGGACACCAATAACAGTCTACCTTCGAACAAGGCAAGGAAGGCGTGACACGGGGCCAATGAAAAGAGAGGGGAAGCCGCCGGCCCACGTAGGGAAGTTCTCTCGTCGGAGTCACGGCACCTACATGCACCTCAAGTGAACTTGTCAAGAGCACGCACCCGACAACAAAGTTTCCTGTCTCCCAGTTGCCCTATGACAGCCTGCGGGCTACCGAGGAAAATCGCGGCGGGGGGGGTACCTCTTTCTCCAATCGCGCCGCTTCGGCCTGAAGCTTCTGAGCGCTACCAACCAGCGCTTGTTTCAGCCGGCCCTTCGCCTCGGCTTCCTGCAACGCAGCAGATACAAAAACGTAAGCACAGGCCGGGCGGCAGTAGGAAGTCATCGAAAGGTTTCATGCCGACAGCCGAAATGCACTGGTGTGTGTTGTCATCCCGTTATCCCTGAACGGATGATTGCGCCCTTCGGTGAGCGTCGACGCCCCAGCCGGGGTCACAAAGAGGAAGACCTCCACAGCAAGGACTTGTCTTTACGTTCACTAGCGAGAAGCGCTGCTCAGTCACCTTTTCGAGAGCTAGGTTGAGCATTTAGGCCGACCGTTTTTTGTGTACCCCTGAAATACTTAAATACTACAAGTGTTCTCCACCGCTGTCGTGGGGCATGTGATGTGAGAGAAGAGTCCAGGCCGTGTGACTGCGCCGAGATTCGAACGCCTCGGCAATCAAACCGCCGCAAGATTTACCAAGCGAGTCACCGGGGCTCACGTTGCAGCAGCTACCGTTTTCTTCCATCACCAACACAAACATGAACGAAACCGTGAAGAGTCAACGACGATGTGAACAAAGTCGATCTCGCAGCACGCCCGGGAACACCACGTGCTCTCGGGTAAGAACATTGCACACCGTACAAAAACAACCACACGTATCGTTTCGACCTTGACGCGCTCATCGCCAAGACTTGGGGAACGTCCTGCGTCTGCGCACCTCGACCTTGAAGCGAGCGAGCTGTGCCTGCGCTTGTTGCTCCTTGATCTCGGACGAACTCAGAAGGCGTTCCGCGTCCCTGATCTGAGCCCTCGCGTACTGCTTGACGTTGTCCAGGTCGACGAGGTGGTCGCTCGTCTCTTGAACCTTGCTGGCCGCCAGCTGCACCCGCTCGCGAAGCTTGTCCATGTAGATCTCATTTCCCTTGTTCGAAGCATACGGCTGCCGTGACGCCACGAAAACACAGATAGCGAAGAGAGTGGAACGGAACCGGACTCATCGGATTTAGCGGGAGGGATAAGGCACTTTTCTGTTGTGTTGCCCGCCCGAACATTCTGCTGCGGTATTTCGAGTGTTTTGGGACCGGTTAAAGGCCAATGTGAACCCCACCACCAAAGACACAACAGCGAGCGGACCTGTTCACCTTTGCCCCTTCTTGGGTCTCTTTCGTCCTCGCCTCGTCGTCTCACCTGATTCCTCCGCGCTCCTACTTCGGCTCCCGCTCCTGCACCCGCATCTGGAGAAGGCATTCGCGGGGTACCCTTACCCGCAGCTTCATCGCTGCCGCCCCCAGCACCACCGCCACCGCCGCCGCCGCCGCCGCCGCCCGCAGACTGCTTGCGAGCCGGCCCCTTCCCCTTGCCCACGTCCGGAACGGGGTTACCCCTCAAAACGGGGTTACGCCTCAAAACGGGGTTACCCCTGAGAACGGGGTTACCGCTGCGATCGTAGCATCCCGCTGCAGAGTACGAGCGCGTGCTGCTTGCCGGGGGCACCGTCGGCCCCGTCGCCGAGACCGTCGCCACGGGAGGCGTCGGCGGTAAAAGGGGACAGGGAGTGGGAGCGACAGGTGGGGCGGGCGGGCGAGACCCTCCGGCGGCTCTTGGCTCCACGACCGGGCTCCTACTCGGGCTTGTACGCGCTCGTTTCGGGGCCCTCTCTCCTGACCCCGGGGTCTATCGGAACAAGTTCGTTGGTGTAGGTTGTACAGGGCAAAAGAAAGGCCATGACAACCCAGCGGGATTGCAAGAGAGGAGAGAGGGGACGCGACGCACACAAAGGGGTGCAGAACGCCACATCAACAACGTGACCACAGAGATCGCGACCGAAGGCTCACGCGTATCCTTCGTTTTCGGGCCTGAGGGTACCACTCACAAAAAATCAACCACGGGTGACTAGAGATGATATGTAACGAACGAGGACTCATTGAGCGCTGAGAATTGACATGAGTGCAGAGCCCCTGCGCTCCCTTTCCGTGTGGGCCAGCAGCGGACAGCACTTCGGAGCAGCTGATACCTCGATAAACACACCCAGAACCGATGTGCCAACAACCTATCGAACAACGTCACAGGAGCCTTGGCGAGAATTACAGGCTTGGTTTTAGTAGGGAATACGGGGGCGGAAGGTAGTGCTGAGGTTAGGGATACGAAACAAACCTCCCTCTCTATTTCATAGACAACTATTACAATCCTCACGAAAGGCGTTCTCATCATCCTCATGACCTTACGCGGTTCACACCTTCGTCGCGGAGCCAGAAGGGCTGCTATTCTTGCACGAGCGCTTGGCTGGGGTAACCCCCGGGGCGTCGTCAATGTCGAGGAAGGCGATGTCGTGCGGGTCCAGAGTGTGGTTCATCCTCAGGCATTGCGCCAGGTTCCAGCACTTGTCGCAAGGAACCTGTCAAGGCAATGTGCGCGTGTGTGTGTGCGTCCCGCTTATTCTGGCGCCAGACTTACGTACCTCTCGGTGTGCATGTTTGACACGGATCAGCCGGAGTCGCACAGGAGGAAGGTGACACCGGAGCTGTTTCTTTATTGGTGTCCGATAGTTCTTCCCGCGGAAATACCTTGCGAAGTATTTCTTTCCGGGGGAATCCGCCCCTTTTCCTCGTCGACCGTCAAGTCCGAGTGTGTTTACTCACGAACTTACCAGTTTCCACTGAAAATTGAACTAGGAAAAGAACGCCCTCCGGAGAGAGATTCGAACCCACAACCTGCTACGCGCAGGTTGCGAGGTTAGCTACTACACCATCGGGGCACACCAAAAAACAAACCAACCAACCAACCCGTCGCCGGTACTGGGACCTACAGCAGTAGAACTAGTGGACGCACGACGCACGTACGTGTGTAGATACTGCGATGAAAAGGCAAAGGAACGATTCAACAAGCTGCCCGAAGCGGGCCTCAACATTTCACGCCATCGTGCGCGGTAGTTCGCCTTCGGGAAAGCAAGGTCGATAATGAATGCTGAACAACCCGAGTGCAGCGTGCAGTGGGTTGGTTCGTCGAGAAAACACCGGGGACCGGCGAGCACTCGAAAGACAATCGGGTTTTGCCCTCACCCTGCAGCGGGTCTCCTTGTCCCACGTAATGGTGTCGCTGCCATCGGCCTGAAAAACGCACGCAAAGTCCGTCTCCTCGTCGAGCTGGGGAATACAAGGCGATAAAACACGGGTCGAGAAAGTGGTATGGCTTGGAAGGTTTTTTTCGTCACTTGCTCACACACAGCGCTTGTGCCGGGCAGAAGCTCCAATCCGCTGGCACGCAAAAGGTTGCAGACGTGACGGCAAGCCCGTGGTTTTTCCTCACGGTCAGCATCGTGCCCCAGGTTTCTTAACTGGCCGAAAATCCTCGAGGAGGTAACACAATAAAATATTAAGCAGACGAAAATCCAAGATTCGGGTTTCATCGGCAATTTGTATTTTTAAGTCCCTCCCCAAGTTGGACCTGGTTAAATCTTGTTCTTTCACCACCTCGTGCTACTCGACACAGACCTTGACTTGTTACCAAAGTAGGGGGCGACCCAAGCAAGCCATCCTTGCATCGGAAAGATGTTGATACCCCTTTGATTCGGCTTTAAATGGCAGACGTGCTGCACGATCACACCTGAAACAAAGCTCGTTCCTGCTGCTTCACGTGACTTGTTCAGCTCTTGGGGGGGAACTATTTACCTCCTAGGGCGGCCTGAACGATAAGGTCTTCCATGCTTCGGTCGACAATCAACCATGGTGTACATACAGGTAGAGGACTGCGAGCGAACGCGTGATTTGCTCCATTTTTATCGCCAATACATACGGCGATCGTAGTCGGCCTGTCAAAAGTCGGCGAACATCGACTCACATCAAGCTTTACTATCCAGTAGCTGGCGAAGGATCGTGAGCCTACCGGTTGGTCGCGCAAGACACCACACTCCCTGGATCGATTTTTCAAATCTCGACTGCTGCGGTACAACTCTGCAGGGAAAACAGTAGTTCATCAGACTCCTCAGTACCCAAGACGCGGATCGCAAAAGCTTGAAATCTTGGGATGGCGACGCGCACAATGAGGAAGCTTTCACACGACGAGAAGCAATAGCCATCTGTGCAGCAGCGTGTGCCTGTTGGCCAATTTGAAAAGTAACTCCAGTCTCCAACGATTCTATAATATCCCGCTTAGTCTATCCAATGTACCGCTATCCCAAGGCTATCCCAATCGAAGCAATTGCCCAGCAACTTCCAAGCCCTCAACCCCAAGGTATCACCCGATATCTGCGATGTGTATCGTATTTTTTGTCGGGAAAGGTGAGGTACTCAGCGTTCTCCGCGGTCATGGTGGGGAGAGTCGAGAGGTGTGCATATGCGTACGTGTCCATCAGTTGGAGAGACGTAAGTGACTTAGACATCACACCCCTTTGATCAATATTCACAGCTCAATTTAGTCCACGACGACGAGGATGTGCAAGCCAAACAACGCGTTTCTCGATGAGACGGTTCCAACCCCGCAATTTTCGGCCCCGCCACTCTTTCTGCTGTGAAGAACTGTACATCGAGCTTTGAAAATCTGTCCAGGGGGGTATGATATCTTACGTCACCTACTGGTAAATTCAAAAATTGATGAGACACCAAGAGACGCCCAACACAAAGGCGCTGTACGTCACAGGCGCCAACAGACCAACTTTAACCGCGAAATCAAAAGCACAAGGGTGTTTGGTGTCATCCCACTCACCTCGTCAATAGGAACCCGTCGTATTGGAGGCAGAGGGTGATCCTCGTTTCTCCTAAGGCACTGCCTGCGCTGTCTCATGCACTGTTCCCAGGGCTTGCTCGAGGTTGATTTGTGTACAGACCCGCGGCAACGGGTGCAAGGATCGACCACGTCTAGGTAGGGCCGAACTGGCATGGGTTCGAACTCGTTGATCTCCCACTCTTTCTTCACGAACGCATTTGGGCAGCTCATGACTTCTGTGTCTACTTGTCGCGTACTGTTGTTGTGTGGTATCAGGTATCAGAGCATTTTGTTGTGTTTCAGCAGACCCGACCCAACCCGACCGACTCGGGGGGGGCGCAAATTGCGCTCAAGGGACGGGGCCGGGGGTCTCCAAGTCCAATTTACTTCCAATTATTTGCCGCGGATAGCGGAGAGACATGCCAATGCGAAGTACAAGTATATGATATGCACACGCATATCTATCCCTCTGTCGGCCTCACACGCAAGCATGGCAGGAATAGGTATGTGACAAAGCCCGTAAGCAACCACAACTACAAAATAGGGTCGGTCTGGCTTGCTCATCATGTGAGATGAAGGTCGAGCATCTACAGGTAAGTAAGTTGCTCTGCGAGAACGGCGTACAGCAACCAACCATAGTCTGTCGAAATAAACGTTGTACTTGCATGTCTGCATGTACAGCCGTACAGTCTGTGTGGTGTGCGTTGTTCGTGTTTACGGTACATAGTCGGCGACGAGACCGACCGACCGACGGCACGACGACCCGACGAAGGTGACCGGAGAAACGTCCAACACTGCTCACAGAGCCCACACACAAACCTACACACTTAGTTTCAACCCGGGCCCAACTCCCACCCTTCCCATCCCCAACAATCAACTGTGATGTACTACAGTAATGGTGGACCCGGCACAGCCCCTAAGCGAGCGTTCTTGCTTTGTACACTATACATTCGAGATATGACACCGGGGAGACTGTTCACTGTTCATGTTTTCTCATGAAAAAACCCGAAAAAACCCGATAATCCAGCAACAGTCCACAGATAAATGATGGGGATGAAGCACTTGTAGTGGGACGTTATTATGCATAGCATCGATGCAAACCTGCACCAACACCTGGATTGCGGTGTCATCATGAACCGTCACGCGCATCGTATCCACCCTGTTCATCAGTATCTCAGATCTGATGAAGAGGAAATGAAGGCGACGAGGATTAGGTTTGCTTGGGTGAAGGGTTGGATCATGGCGGGGGCAAATCGGCTTCGGAGGGCCGCTGACAACGGGAGGGTTTTCTCTTGTTTGGTTCCTGATGAGGCCGATGCTGTGCGTGCGCGGATTCGATGGAATAGTTTTGTTTCTGCCATAAACAGATGACCAACGACAACTAACCCTAGCTCAAACCGATAGCACAGGACCTACCGGTGTACTTGGGGTGATAACGTTTTTTCGGGTTGTTGTTCATCCGATTAACATCCTTGCCACGGCGCCCCCAAGGAAATACGTCAGAAACGTTTCGTTGCGCTATTGGGTATAGGTAGGTACTTAGTATCGCTGTGGAGATCCCCTTGAAAAGGGGTCCAATCTCACACCGCCTGTCAAGGACGATTCCCCTCTGTTCACATTGGCGACGGAGAAGAGCGATTTATATTCTCATATATATGTAGTCGACGCCAAACAAACGTGAAAAGAGGGAATCGTCCTCAATGCTTGGAAATTGTACCCTTCCTGAAGCGGATCTCCACATCGCTACCACTACCAAGATCTGGAAAATTCTGTCGGTGACCAAAACCGAAATAAGACGTGAAAAGCGCGAGAAAAAGCGGGTTCCAACCAAGACCGGCCTTACCTAGGGCCTTTCACACCGTTATCATCCTAACCAACCGGAGCAGCATCGTGATCTCCTCGCCCCACCCCGGCCGTTGGAGGCTTAAAATATTTCCAGAAAAACTGCATGAAAACACCATCACCAAGGGCCTGAATCAACCCCGCTGACAAATATCCTTCCTAAAAGCGCAACAAAATCAAGCGCGAAATGAGGGCCACAACAGGGACGTTCAAACAGGCTAATTGTTTGTTTCACCAACAGGCAGGGGTTTTTTTGTCTTTCCGGCTCAGGAAGGCCCTGGGCTGAGTAGATGTCTACCATCACCTACAAGGAAAGGTAGCTTGATTCATTGGCCAACGTTTAACTCCCCCCGCCCCCCCCCTGACCGAGAGTCCTTCCTGGACGGTCGACTCGCACGGCGTAGGAAAACTGGTAAAAATACACAAGGATAGATTACAGGTCGTGGTCCTGGTACGACACAGCTGGCCGACCAACGCCCGGGGGGGCGCGCGTGCACGCCCTGGAGATAATCTCAGGCGGAGGTTTCTGTGTAGCAAAACGCGACCTTCGTTCCTCGAAGAGGCTTGTTGCGAAAGACGTGGCTTGCTCGTTGTGAAGCCCCGTAACAGCCGTCGTGTACCTGGCGTTGGTGGCGGTTGAAGGGCAAGCGTATTAGCGCAGAGCAAGTCGATCTTCCGCGCACTGACGCCCAAGGTATCTTGCTCTGCGGATACAGCTTGGAAGCACGTTTTCATAATTATTTCCACATCGAACACATGCAAATCCAGTAGATGGAGTAGAATCGTTTTAGTACCAGAAGCAAACACGGTCAGAATGCGAGTCATCACCAACGACGTCGGGGTCATCGCACAGGGGGGCTGAAAATCGATAATAGCTCTCAGTGATTAAGTTCGAATGTGGAACAGGAATCAGAATCATCGCACAGGGGTGGTTGCGATACTCCCAGGAAAAGTAGTCGAGGGTGAGAATGAGTGCTACCGCGGTTCCAGGGCTCCCGAGGGGCTGCAACCTGGCATACCGCGGCTGTTTCATGAGTGATCCCCATGACCGTATGTGTTGATTGCACCGCATTTTTACTTTGTGCTCAGTTGTCAAAGTAAAAGGGACTGTCACCATTCAAGCACCAGAATCATATGATGAGCCGTGGCCTATAACTAGTCTGCTGATGCAAAGCAATCAACCCGTGACGGGGAAAACGAGCGAGGGAAACACCGCAACGACCAAGGACAAAAGCTGGAAGGAATATGAATACATTTATTTCAAGCAGGCACGCACCCATTATTCGTTCTCGTGGCACATGGCCAAGCCCTTCCTCTGCCAAAAGAGGTTAAGGGTGCGCCTACGTGCGTTGATTCACACCGGAGTAGCTCTTTCGTACGTTTGCTGTATTTCAGTGAGTAAAAATCGAAGATGTCGCACACGGTTGGTTGTGGGTTACTTGCAGTGTCGCACTTGTTGTCGGAGTTATCGCGCAGCAGTGAGTGAGTTGAAAAATAGGAAAGAAACGAAATATTTGACTCAGCTACCACACAAGTATCGGATTCATCGCGCTGAAGGGAGTCTTGGCACATATTATATGTCCAATGAAGAGTAACACGATAACAACCGACCTACGGGGAGAGCAGAAGATTGAGATTCGAGTCTATATGCATGCACGCATCGGGGCGAGGTTTTCTCGAATCAATACAGAACGCGCCACCACTTACGAGCCTCTAGTTTCGGTCGAGGCTTGGATTTTTACATTAGTTCCTAGGGCCGCTATCTGGGTTTGTGTTTAGGGATTCTTAACAGAGATGACAAACTGGTGCTCAAGTTCTCAATATTGAGTTCTTATTGCTCAAAAGTAGTTCTTCACTCCTCCTGAGTTCTTGATTGAGTAGTGGCGCGTTCTGTGTGTATAGGTTCATGTCATAATCTCCAAAACATTTTTTGCATGCAACCGTGCTTAGTTGATGATTTCCACAAACTGCACAATATTCGCAACCAACCGTTCGTTGTAGTCGTAGGGCACTGCTGAAGCGGGGGGGTTGTTTTCAATCCCCACAGCACGTAGCTTCACGTTTGGTCAGTCCGCAGGTAAGATCTCTGAGGCGCAGTCTCGATGTACTTCAGTATCCACCGTCATCTTGACCGACCTCCTCCAGTCTGTTGTCTTATCTGTCGTGTACAGCATGGCAGTATGGTATTTGCCTTGACACCTCCAAATCCTGAGTTCACTACATACAGATAGCGCCCCCAGTTAAGAAAAATTATGTTAAGGGCGCGGGGGGGATCGCAGTACCTCCTTTGAAAAATCCAGGAAACGCCTGCATATCTCGGTTTTCCAAAGTCTAACTCAATTACGAAACTACCATCGTAAATTAACCGTCCGCAGCGGTCGCTTGTGGACAATGTTAGTAGCTGAGGTTGTATCCCTTTCGATACACTACAGACTAGGGGTCCGCGATTTTCCAAACGATCTTTCTATCATCGAGTTCGGTGAGTTACAAGTTAGATTTTTGAAGCTGCTGTGCGGTCCAATTTTGAAACGCTTCAAGCACCTTTGCCTAAAGGCTGGAAATGCATATACATGACCCTAGGCATTCAAATCGACAATGGCGACCAGCTGGATATGTGAGGGAAGAGCTGCGCTGAAGGTCGCGACCCCATACACTCACATAGATAGGCGGTGATTCGTGTTCACCGTGCGCTTGAAGCGTTTCAAAATTGGACCGCACAGCAGCTTCAAAAATCTAGCTTGTAGCTCACCGAACTCGATGATAGAAGGATCGTTTGGAAAATCGCGGACCACTAGTCTGTAGTGTATCGCAAGGGATACAACCTCAGCTACTAACATTGTCCACAAGCGACCGCTGCGGACGGTTAATTTACGATGGTAGTTTCGTACTGGAGTTAGACTTTGGAAAACCGAGATATGCAGGCGTTTCCAGGCGTTTCCTGTTTTTTTCAAGAGGAAGTACTGCGATCCCCCCCGCGCCCTTAAGAAAAAAAGGCTCAAGTTTAAAAGAAAAATAAGAAAAGAGGGCTAAGAAACATAACTTAATCCCGGCCACAACTTGAGAAACGCCCCAATAAGAAACATGATGGTGCGATTACCCCATGACATCAGAAACCTTCGGTGCTCCCACCCCCTTCCCTAGCTGAACAGACGTACGTGCGTTATTTTTTGTCGGGAGCATAGTGGTTATTTTGGCGCCCCCCCCCCGCCCGCCCCCCTGCTGTTCACTGTGCTGTACTGTAGTACTGCCACACATCGCGGACAGCCACATCCTCTCCGCTGTTGTACGGGTTTGATGGCACTCTCCACCCGCTCTCTTGAGGGCTTGATGAAGTGGATTGTCCTCAGAGATAAAAAGACAGAAATAAGAAAATACGAAGTACTTGGTAAGGAATAAGATAATCGGGAGGATGCGACAGTCCAAAGGAATAAGAAATGCCTTTTAAGAAAATCGACGACTTGGTCCGGTACTTCGACCCAAAATAAGGGATTAGACTAAGGCTCGACCCGATTTTGACGTTTCTTAACTGCGGGCGCTATCTGTACATCTAGTCTACTTCTGCTCTTTCTATTACTTACCAGAGTAATAGGCTAGTCTACGACAGCTAGTAGTATAGATCGTGGCAGTTCTCTTGAAGCGGTAATTGATGTCGCCGAAATTGAAAGCTGCCGCCTGAGGCAGGAGATCCACCGGCGGCGTGAATCCTCCAAGCGATAAGTCCCCCGTACGAACTTTTCACACACTCATGACCCAGCGGTTCATATTGTAGCACTTCCTCGACGGCCCCTCGTGGCCTGCCGCGGCGGCGTCACACTCCGCAGCGGACGCCTCCGCCAGGTTCATGCACTGCGTCTCAATCTCCGGCGTTTTGTATATATGTGCCAACGAGCATAGACATTCAGCGTTGTAGATTTAATTAACATGAGCACTTTATCTGTGTGACACATTACTACTGCAGTATGGACCCGTAATAGGCCTAAAACGGTGGTATCTTCTGCCCACACAAGATCACGTAGTCTTGATCGAACCGTGACTGCTGGGTGGCGACAAGTAGAACTTCTGATCGTTTCTGGATGAAGAAGATTCCGCCAGGAATACTCTGTGCAGCCGCAGCAGACACGCACACACACCTCTTGCAGCAACCACGCCGTCAAGCATAAAGCAAGAGGCCCTACCCGCCTCAGGTAGAGCAAGCTCTCAAGTGGGGTATGTAGAAGAACCTGATGATGTGGGTTCTTTTGTCGCTTTTTTCTTTTTCGTGTGCGCGGCGGGACTGTCCCGAATGAGTCGAAGAGAAGTCGAAAACGGTGGGTGTTGACCAATGAGGTTGTACGCGGAAGATCTTGTTGAAAACAAATCCCTGGCCAAATAACGCTCACATTATCTCGTTCAGACCTCGTTTTCCGAAAACCAACGGCCTGAACGCCTGAACTACCGTAACCGATTTTTGCAGGCGTGCGTGCGTGTATACCATCGCACGCAGGGAGAGGGAGAGCGCGAGGCTCGTGAAAAGGGTAGGAGCATGAGACCCACGGCACCTGTGCTGCGGGTTCTGTTCGTGGAACCCTCTGCACGCGACATGCAGGTGACCGTCTTTTGTGTGTGGGCCCGAATCCTGTTTGACGTTTATCTTTCCTGAAAATCGTGTCACCCAATCTGCTTCAGTTCTCCGCCATCGAACTGGACATGGACATGTCGTTGCGTACTGACGCCCCCATTGTTGGCGCCCTCATCTCGAGGTCCGCGTTTGTACGTAGACTCAGGGCTCCAATGTTGTATCTACCTACTGCTGTGTACGCGCGGTAAGATCCACAATGCTGGTGTCTACAGTCTATTTTAGTCGGCGAACGAACGAGACAGAACGTGTTTCCGAGGGCTGGATACTGTCGGTAGTCCAGACTGCTGGCTACAGGACCGTCTCATCACTCGTGGTGAAAATCTATGCACCACTCGGCTGCGTGCACGTTTCTACATATGTTCTGCGATGTGTTGAGTGTTGAAACAATAAGATACGTTCGGTGCTCACCATCTACATGACCACACCCTCTTCTACAGCAGTGTGCAATGCAGAAGTCTACCGCAGTCTAAAGGCTGGATCTACGAACGAATGCCGCAGCTACACCCAGACTCTATGCCAGCACAAGCTTCAAACATGAGGCACATGGATGTGAACCCTACGTCTACATGTAATTTTGGCCACTCGAAATGATCAATCGAATCGTCGTAGCTGTACTTTGTAGCGACGACAGCCAGCCGCCAATCGCCACTGCATTCCCATCAAACGTAGTAGCCACACTGCTGTAAAACTAGTCTACTGAATGTGGTCATCATTCCGACGCCACACAGCAAGCAGTAGACACAACCGTACAAAGAGGCGTGCCTCCACTGTTCCACGAGTCTTCTACCCCCTTGCCATTTAACATCGTCTACACGCGTGCGTCCAGTTCCGAACCTCATCTGGTTTAACTGCTGCTGTACATAAGAATTCAAGAGACTGTAGTCTAGACTTACTGTAGGTTACCTTTCTGTAGTAGACGTGTAGGTGCCAATACATCTACATACGAGGTTACGGGGTTGGGTTTGGGTTAGACAGCAACTCTTGTTGTCGACGACCTCTGTTTTCAGTCTATCCTGCACAATTTTGTATGGAACCACGATTATTGAGATGGCGCAAGCATGGGGTCACATACATGTCAACTCGACCACCGCTCTATGGCACTACACAGTATCGGCGCGTAGTCGAGTCACTACAGTAGACCCAGCACAGAAGCACTCTTGCGGCGTGGTCTTCACCCTGTCAGCAACCGCACCCCCGAGAGGTTGTATTGCCGGCAGCTCCAATCAGGCAACTAGAGGAAAGCCCCGGTGGTCGCATTTCCTTATCCTTGCTATATTGTTCTGCAGGATAGCGCAGTTCCTGCCTTTTACTGCGCAAGCACCCAACCAAATAGGTTGACGGTGACCACACGAGAGTATTCTCCAACGATCACACTGAATACTTTGATAGTCGCCTTCTTCGCATCCACCCACGCCTGATTCTGGTTCCATCCCAAAACTGACCAAAATTGCGCCCAACACAACGGCGACGATAACCACAACCACAAACGCAACAGCTGGTGGCAGAGATTCTGCACAAAACGACAGAGATGCTGCCTGGGTCGTACGTGTTTGACGTGGTGACGAACAACTTTGGAGCCTTGGAGCGAGTGAGCCGTTCGAAGTACCGGCTGGTGTGCGTAGCTCAGGAGTCGCGGAGTGCCCTCGACGGCCGCAGGGTAGCCATGGTCATTCGACGGGTGAGGAATGGCAAAGAGGTGTGATCGGGTTTTGGGTGCCCCAGCCCAGCGGACGACGATGTGTTTGGCCAGTGGCAGAAGCTCGAGCAGCACCCGAGACCCCCGCGGTTGTTCAACGGGCGAAGATGTGGATCGGGGACAAGTGGGGCGGTTGGTGACGGGCGCGGGAAACGGCGTAGTGAACTAGTTTAGAGCACAATGCATGGGGCACCCCGAATCATTCAATACGAAAACATGGCCGTAACGCCTGTGGAAAACATACACGTCCATTGCAGTAGGCAGTAACGCTCGTTCTGTGCTCTTCGAAGTCGGTGATGCGGTTTAGCAGTGCTTTTCGATCTTTCCTTCGTCTCAACAACCACCGCCACGACCCGCCTTCCCCGTGTTTACGCGCGCTCTTCCACCCGTTTACGCTACGCGCGTTCAACCCTGAACGATCCAGTCTTTCCCGGACTTGACCGTAGTGCTTCTCCTGGATGATGACGACGTCAGACCGCGGTCACCGCCGCTGCCAGAAAAGGCGGAGAGGCCCGTCAGTTCGAAGAAAAAGAGGGCGGCTTGTACCTCCTCTGCGTCGACCTCCAGCGGAAACCCAGCTTCCAGTAGTACGTCCTTGGCCTCGATTCCGCTGCCATCTACGCTAGCCTCACCACCACTCCCCACACTGACACTCACGACGCCATTTGGTGCCGAGTTGCCGTCTCCATCGACGTGTCGGAGCGGGGTTTTTCCAGACACTTCGATGCTTCGGAGACATAGCAGCGGTGGCAGTAGCGCGGCGGGGGCGGGCGGCGGCGGGGGCGGGGGTGGCCTGGGGTCTATCGGAGCGGTGTGGCCCAACGGGGGCTCATTGACGGGGGGATTGGCGGGTAATGGTGGTGTGATGGACGCCACAGGGACGGGGTTAGGACGAGGTGCAACAGGGGTACGGGGGGGGACACGATCGTCCGAGGCGCCTTCGACGGACGGTTTCGCCGCGTCGTGGCCGCCGTCCGGAGCCGCAACGGGAGCCTCTTTGCGTCCTGCGGAAGAAGGCTGCCCGCCGCCGCCGCCGCCGCCGCCCCCTTGCTCTCCTAGCTTGGGGCCTTCGTTGGTGATGGACCTGGGCATAGTGGACTACGTGCTGAAGAGACCGTTCTCGGACGAGACGTTTCGCCTCCTGCTGGAAGCCGCGGAGAAGGATCACCGACGGGTGAGCCCCGGGTGTTTGTTGTTGTTTTGCTAGAGCCAAGTCATGCTGATCATATGTGGCAAAGAGTTGTGATCGCCGTCAAGTCGAGCACTCGTCGCGAGGGCTCTCGGGTACCTGGCGTTGCTTGCGGGTTGTATATTCAAAGAAAGCACAAAGAGGCATTGGGCGGACAGACGTTGCGTGGTTTTTCATTTTTTCCCCTACGTCTGTCCGCATGTGCGTACGGGCAGCTCTTGGTGATGCTTGAGACTTGCTACTGCTTCGAGTGTGGTCGAACTTTTCGTCGATGCTCCCAGACTTCGGGTGGTACCTTAAGGTTGGGGTTAGGAGTAGCGAGAAGCGAGGGGAAAAGGAAGAAAGCACGAAGGGCGCAATCTGTACGGCCGACGCCAGGGAGACGATTGAAACGCATGTTTGTTAACCCTAAGAATAATCTGCTTTCCAACAAGGGTGGGCAGCTAGCTCCACTACCTGCAGAGGTGGAGGTACGTTCTACGAGAACCCATTCTACACGCTAAACACGGCAGCACAAACACCGCCTGCCGCATATCTCTGGAACTGATCAATTTCACGTTCTCATTCTATTCGCGCGGGAATGAGCACGCCGTTCTGACTATTCGCAGCTCGTGGCCTGGTTGTGTCGGTGTGTTGTTTGAACGCATCTCTCGCCAACCATTATTAGCTTTTCTCGGATAATATCTCTGCGTGAGATCGTATCGGTGAGTTCCACTTTTGCAGGAAGTTTGGCGTGCTCGTAGCAGAAACGAACGTCCTTTCCTACAACGACCTGCACTTCTTGTCGTGCTCCCTCCTGTCCGGCGCCAGTGATTCGCACATCCACACCCGACTACGCCTTTTTTCGTTGCGTACCCTGCTAGATTTGCGACGGACGTATTATCAGCTGGTTAGTGCGTGGTCAGTACGAAACGAAGAATCCCCCACCACAAATGTGTGGAAGGGATAATGTTGTTATCTTCGACCTATCACGTCGTTCATACAACAGTTAGCAGCAACAACCTCGTGAGTAGACCCTCAGGGGGCGAGAGAGTCTAGAGGCCCGAACGATTCTCAATGACGAATGTGGTGAAGGTGGTGATGGAGCATATCGATATCGCATCGCATAGGAAGTAGACTAGTCATCTGGAAGGTGACGGTGCTAGATATTGCAAGAGACATGCTGCGTCGTGGTGTAGCGCCGTCCACATTTCAACGTACTCTGAACCCGGAGATTGGACGCTGTAGTTCAATAGATTTTCGCGTGTTTCACCCACCTCTACAGTATGCATGTGACTGACGTCGGTTCTTCGGCCAGCCGGTTGACGCGATCGATGCTACAACTAATAAACACACGCGAATCCGCTCTCGTACATGACAGGTGTCTCAAAGCTCACAGCAGCACAGCAGTGCCTCGAGCTTGCTTGTGCCTGCATCGCTTGCATCGTTGCTGGGGGCGGACGATGATGAAGACGACAATCACGATGAGCATGAAGACCATGCAGAAGCAGCAGAAGGGCCGCAAGGGATACGGCACGCGACTCCACGTGCAGGAGGAGCACTCGCAGGCAGTCTCGATGGCGGCAGCGGTGGTGGCAATCCTGACGCTCCTGCCCCAGACACCGATACCTCGTGGCTGCCAGATTTGCCAGAGGCGGCGCTTCTCCCTCCACCTCCTGAGCGGGTTGCATCCCCCGAGGTCTCGCCACGTCAACAAGTACAGCAGCCACCACAACGGCGGCGTCAACGGCGAGAACCGCGACAGAAGCAGCAGCAGCAGCGACAACAACAACAACAACAACAACAACAACAACAACAACAACAACAACAACAGCAGCAGCAGCAGCAGCAGCAGCAGCAGCAGCAAAAGCAACAGCAACAGCAGCAGCAACAGCAACAGCAACAACGGCCACAACAGCAACAACAACCACAACAGCGTCATCGTCGTTGTCAACAACAGCAGCAGCAACAACAGCAGCAGCAGCAGAAGCAGCAGCAGCAGAAGCAGCCGCAGCAGACCCAAGGCGGTTCCCCGCGTGCCCGAACGCCACCGCGGTACTCCGTGCCCATGCCAGAGTCAACGCCATACGTTGTCCCCCCAGCGACCGCCGCCCCTGCTTCCCGTGCGGGGTTCCCCCCCCCCATGCCGATGATGTTTCAGCACCACCATCCTTTTCATCACCATTTTCCTTTGTTCCCATACCAGCAGCACTGGTTCCAGCAGGCGCAACACGGTGACCCCCAATGGTACCCGCATGGAAGCCTGAACGTGCAGCCCCACCCCCAGTACCAGCCCGCTGCGGCGCTTGGCGTAGCCAGTTCGAGCGAACGCTCAGCCGGGAGTGTAGCGGCGGCTTCAGCGGGGTCTCCGGCGGCGCACGGCGGGGCGGCTTACCACGGGCAGGGACGGCGAACCCCCCCGTCGATACGGCCAGCTCCGCAGCAGGGTGGTGAAGGCTTGGCACCCGCTAGTGTGAAAGCGACCGCCGGTGCAACCTTGCCCTCAACGGCAGTTCTGACGGCGGTTCCGGCGGCGCAGGGGTCGGTGGCTCAAAGTGGAGAGGAACAGCGGCGCCCGCCACCATTAACGCCAGCGCAGGAGGTTGTGACTCAAAGTGTAGCAGAACAGCGGTACCCTCCGCCATCAGCGCCAGCTCCGCACCAGGGCGGTGCAGGACCAATGCCCTTGAACGCGGTGTCAGCCGGATGTGCTGCTGGAAGCTCAGCTGCGAGTGTAGCGGCGGCTTTGGCAACGCCGGGCAGGGTTGCTCAACTCGAACAACAAGAGGAAAATCGTCCGCACCAAGCACTAGCTCCACAGAAGGGCGGTGGAGGACCGATACCCGCAAACATGGTGGCTGCGGCTGCGACGACAACTGCGGCACCCGCTTCGCCGGATGGGCCCTCATGGAAGCGAGCTAGAGTGCACTGGGGCTCACAACAACAGGGCACGTCCTCTGCTGCTACTGCTGCGCCCCCAACCGTTCCAATCGGGGTTTCACGACAGCCGGTTTCAGACACAGCCGAACGTACCGCGAGCGAACGGGACTGTTGGATGACAGGATCAACGGCGATGGCAGGGGCGACGGGAGGTACGATCGCCACTCCTTCGACTTTGGCGGGGAGGACGACTTCGCCATCGTTGGGTTCCATGACCACGACGAAAACGCCACTAATAATGACGTTTTCACGCGGCGAAGAGCAGCAGGTAGTGTCAGGCTTCGACGCTAGCAGAGGAAGGGCGCACTCCCTGCATACCCCGACAGCGCCGGTGCCAGTCGCCACTACTCCCACTGGTGACGTAGCCGTCGCTACTTGTGATCGCCCAGCTTCCTCTGCCGCCGCCTCCGCGTTCGGCGGTGTTGGAGCCCGGCCACCAGAGCGCAGTTTCTCGACGTCGGATAGGGCAAGAGGGGCAGAACTTGTGGGCGCAGTTGCCGGTGGGTTGCATGTGCCCCCCACCATGCCGTCTTGGGACGGCGGGTCGACTCAAACTGAGCAAGAGAGCATTAGGGCACTGTCATCGCAGCAGGCGGTGAAGGAACCATCGGGTGGAATGCCGTTGCCGCCTGAGAAGCCTGCGAAGGGCTACGTCGGCGTGGAAAGCGGCGACAAGCAAACCATCGAAACCACAGCTCCGTCTTCTCTTCTTCCTCTTCTCCCTCCGCCGACGCCGTGTGATGGTGGAGGCTCGACGGAAGGAGGGGCCCACAAGAGAGCGGCGGCGTCGGCGGTGGCGCCGTTGTTGTTGTCGTCATTGTCGCCACTACAACAGCGATGTTCTCCGGCATTGGAGGCGAGAGGAAACGTCGGCGCGGCGGCGGCAGCGGACGCCGTTGCTGCGGCCACCGATGCTCTCTCGCGCTCGCCTCGGCAGCCGAGATGCCAGGAAGAGGGCGGCGTTGCTCCCGCCCCGTACAGCCGTAGGGAAGGCAGAGATCGCCCCTTCTCTGCTTCGGGGTGTGGTGGGGCTACGTTTCGGCAATCTTCTGCAACAAGCCCGCAACCTCCAGATTTGTAGCATTAAGACTACCAGAAATAAATGTTGTGATTGTCGAGACAAAGGGGGGTTGCCGTAATGTTCCACCACAGCTTCCTGTTGCATCAGATACTTGTCGTGTGCAGATGTGTTTTTGCTCTCATTCGTACTCGAAGCGCAGTCCAAGCCGTCGCTCCTGCAACTGTACTTATGTGTGCGCATAGCTGCGCCTGAAATATGGCAGCAGATGTGCTACTATGATGAAGAAGATATATAAAAACATTACTATGGGGGGTGTTTGATTTAATTAATTGGTTTTAGGTTTGGGGAATGCCTTTGGTTTTGGGTAGGCAGTATGGTATTGTGCAGGACATTTTATGTGTACATACATCTTCCTGTCATTTTCTTCCGAAGAAAGAGCAGAGCCGGGGAGTTTGCGACGATAAAGCAAGGTGTGAAGCTCGACGGGAGGCTGTTTTTTTTGCAGGATCAACGCCGTTTACCGGTAGAGAGGACGGAGTTGCGGGATGCCGTGTGGTATTTTGTTTGCTGTCTCTTCGTGTGCTTCGGGCAATGAGAAGTGGGTCGGTCGTGTTTTGGGCACCTGCCAGCCACTGGGCTGGAGCTTTGAATGGGAGGGCAGTTGCAATAAACGAGCGTTCGGCGAAATTGTAAAAGACACGACCAACCGAGGGAAACGGCGAAACGCATAGGCGAGAAACTTGCTTTTGCGACCTCCCCACTTTGGCGAGTCGGCGCTATGTTCACCTCTCCTGCCAAGATTTTGTCGTGAAAACACGGCAGCCACGACAAAGGCGAAAACGGCGGCGTCGAATTGAGGATCGGCTCGAATTGACTGAAAGCGTGTGATGTAACCGTTCAATCCACAATGAATGGACGTCAATATTACACCGGGCCATTCGGTACGTTTGGACGCACCAACCGTCGTCACACAGGAGGACGAGGACACACAGGACCCCACGTTCTTTCAGCGGTGCTGTCCTTAACTGGCATCGTATCTTGTGTATCTACCATCTACGAATCAAGTCGTTCTCCACATATTTGAGCACCATGTGTAATAAAATCCCAGATGAGTGATTTCGCACAGACATTCCGTCCAAAAGTCCGACGGTTGGGGGGTTACCAACCGAAGAACCGGGCGAGCAGTCATGACGCGCCATCGGTCAACGACAAATAGCAAAAAAGGGCAAGGGTCTGATATTTTCAGAGGTTTTCCAAATCAATTACCCTCGCTGTCGGCGTTCAAAACGGCACGAGAATTGCCACGACCCCCCCCCGTCGTGCGCATTATTTTCCTGAAGAGAACAACATCAACAGTCACACGGGCTGCCTTTCTCTCGCATACCCCTACATATCTGACCAAAGTGCCAACCGGCACCGTTGGTATTGCCTGCGGGCTTTACATCCATCCTAAAACATCGTATTTTCCTAACACACCTTATAACATGTGGGAAACACAGCCGAAGACAACTACAACTGTGTTTCCCACCGGCATTATAGCCCTGAAGACAACAAAAACAACCACCATACGCGTTGCGCGTCTTTTTTCATACCCCTAACGAAACTATGATCACCGTCACCGATATTATTGCCATAAGGGCCTTAAATCCATCTACAGTAAAGCTGAACTTTCCTAGGACACGTACGTACATATGTGGGACACACAGCGACGGCATTATCTGTAGTACAATTGTCCCTCGTTGTGGCATTTGACTGGTCGACAAACACAAACACGTCCACCCCAATAAGCAACTCGAACGATATTCCACCAAGTTGCCCTTTGCCACCCGGGCGCTGACGTCCGTCTTGATTAAAAAGTCAAATCTACTTGGAGAATATAAATCAATTCCGGGCAGATTCACATATTATTCTGTCGGCAACACACGAAAGGAGAAAATAACATGGACGACTTGACGCATATCAACGCGGGCAAAGCTGTACTCTGCAATGGCCAAACCAGAAAAAAAATGCCCCGTAGGGCCGGCCGCGCACAACCTCTCACCACCGGATTGCAACCATGAAGAACCGAGGCCAATCCCAAAATCGCTTGCGAGCAACACATGGCCGTACGATCCTCCGGTCACATGTGTGGCGGGAGGGCTCTGCACTACGCAATCATTCGGGGTAACACACAACAAACGCAAAATACTTGAGAGGCCTCGAAACAAACACGAGAACAGCGTTGAGCAAGACCACAAATACTCTTACAATCGTTCACCAGTTAGAAACGTCATGGTACAATCCTGAGCAATTCCTAACCAAGCACTGCGTACGTCGTCGGCAGCTATCCACACACCGAACGACCTTGCATACACCTTTTACCGTCTCTCGCTGCACTCGCCGTCTGCGCAGGGGCATGACACAAGCATATAATACACGCGTGATTCTCTCAGCAGCGTGGGGTTCCATCTTAATTCGATTTGTTATTTTTCAAGTCGTGCGACACGCCCTGAGGCTCTTGTGTGAACGCAAACGGAGATGCCCCCCACATCTAAAGTGGGTCCACACGAACACCCGTCGTCCCCACGATCGTTGCCGAAACCCACACACCACACCGCCGAAGGACATGGCACCTGTGTTGTTCGTTCTGGTGACGCCGAAGCCAACTGGCGCATCTACCGTGGTTCTGGGACGCACGCAGACACAGCACCATTTCAAAGACACGATACCGAAGCGAGTTATCGACGACGACGCTTCAATAGACCCCACGACGGAAGGACGATAACGAGATGGCGGAGATAAGATGACAACATGCTGTGAGCAGCTTGCACCAGACGGCAGCACGATTTTTTCCCCCAGCGCTCCACCCACACCCACCCGAACACAGCCGGGGGCCCCGAACCCCCCCTCCCACCTGCTACATACAACCTAGGCAGAACAGAATCTCCCGATACAAGCCAACCTCGGCTCCATCCTCATGGGGCTGGGGGGAGACAAACGCGCCTAGCGCTACGGACACCACAAGACCGAAACCGGACCCCCTAATCTGGCATGAGGGAGGGCATCCCTGGCCCCACCCACCGCGACAGACGAGACGAGTCGGGAAGTCACACTCGAACCGATAGATGGATCAGTCGAGGGTCCAACCTGATGCCATCCCGGCAACCGTTTCCCGGGCATGCCGCCACATCTCCAGCTTGCAGTCGCGTGCCTCTAGTTCCATCTGTTGCACGACCCGGAAAAAAAAAAAAGTGTCAGAGTGGGTGCGGCAGCACACAAACACGACTAACCGTGCGCCATAAAAAATTGCGGGAAACGAGTGAAACCACAAGTCGACAGAGTCACAGAACAGAGGGTCAAGAGCGGAGACTAGATGGAACCAGTTTGTAAGGCTGGTTTGGTGCTTCGTTTCCACGTTACAGCACAAGCACTGTTGTACGAGCGTCTAACAGCAGTCTTGCGACGCCCCTGCACATGTCTCTCGATGCTTTTCCTTGGAAGCACCCATGAGTCCAGGACGTCCGCTGCAAACGAAAGGGCTCATGACAGGGCTCAAACTGCATCTATCTCTGGAAACGTACGAGTTGGGGCTGTGCCTACAGCATGACGATCTTGTATGCCATTGAGAACCCGGCGGAGTACCACCCCGGCCGTTGACTACGCTAGTATATGTCGACTTCCGAAAAATACGCTGGCGCTTGAACGTAACAACCCGGCTGACCCACATCACAAGCAGCACCAGCACGATAACCACCACGGCCACTACCACCACCGCTACCACCAACAACATCACCACTATCGCCACCACCGCTACTCCCACCACCACCAACACCTCCACCGCTACCTCTTCCACCACCTACCACTACCACCAACAACATCACCACCACTATCGCCACCACCGCTACTCCTACCACCACCAACACCTCCACCGCTACCTCTTCCACCACCTACCACTACCACCAACAACATCACCACTACCGCCACTACCACTACCACCGCCACCATACACCAATCGCCCCCGATCACTCACCTCGTCGTACTCCTCCCTCGTCAAGTCGTAGGCGGTCTGGAGGTTGACGCAGAGGTCGTCATTAGCCACCTGCACAAACAAAACACATCCAAAAAAACGTTCAAACACACACACACACAGCAGCAGCAGGGGGGACCCACGGGACAGAAAGGCCGCGCGACAGTGTAGAAGTCGGTTCGGAGCCCAGGATACGAAACTGTCGGATACTGATTGGCATAGGAACGGCGCTCGACTCAGACAGGACTGCCTGTTGATGACGAACGACTGCGATCTAGCACCGGCTGTTTGGGACCCCGGGTTTCCCCAGCCATGAGCTGCTTGAGCTGCTTGTGTGGAAATGGTCCCAGGTTTTCTGACCGGCGGGTACAAAACAAACACTAGAGACAACAACAAAAAAAATACTCACCATGCTGTGGACACGAGATTTCCTGAGGCACGGGTAGGCGTCCAGCAGCGTCGAAGACATCACCAACGGTCTCTCGAGCAACAGAGCCGTTGGCACCTGCAGATCGCGGCGATAACAACAGCAGCAGCAGCAGACGAAACCGTCACGCATCGCCGTGTACATCGAGTGGAGAAAGAAAAAACGCGGCCTAAATTGCCCTCTGAAGGGGTTTGTTGGCGCTGGATGATTTTCGACTCTGTACCCCTGCGTGACAGGGAGCCGTTGTTGCGTTTCGGGTAGGCGAGAGACACGAAAGCACTAACAACATGCCTCCGGCGACGTGCCTGAACGTCGAGAGAACATAGCGTACCATGTCGAGAGAACTGGGGTGACCGCATACTTAGTTGGAACAAAGAATCGCACAAGATGAAGTCCAAAAACAAAAATGGCTCTCCTCGTGGTGGCGGCGAGGAGAGTGACCTTTTTTGGTGGCTAAGCATTAGGAACTAGGAACAACAACAATAGAGAAAAATTGAGAAGATATACTAGCTTCGCTACAACGAGCGACAGCTGATAGGTGTAACTGTCGTCAGACGTGTGCCTCCACGGGCGGAAACAGAGTGCAAACACCACACACTTGATACTACACCTACCTGCTGTGCGCTGGTGTGAGAGCTGTGGTAACGTTAACTTTCACGTACCGGTTACCCCCCCCCCCCGTCCACATCCCGCTTTCGTGATCATACATACCCCGCGCATACTAGTGCTGAACCCCCTGTTCCCTCTTATTTTGTTCGGTGTATGTCCAACTGCCAGCGAAACAGCAGGACACAAGCCAGTTCTCGTCACCTAGCGCACCAATCGTCATGGCACCACTTCGAGCGTGTGCTCCATTGCGATATATCGGGGCGTGACAGTTGTGTTAGGCATGGGTGCTGTGTGTGGGAAGACCTTCGTGGCGGCGTGGAATCCAAATCGTTTTTTTGGCCCGGGTAATCGGGCCGCATCGCCAGGCGAAAAAGCCAAACCGAATTTCACATGCGCCGCGATGCTCTCGCCACATACAGCACCCTTGCCCAACACAACTATCACGCTCAGAGACACCACAATAGAGCACACGCTCGAAGTGGTGCGATGGCGATCAGCGTCCGAGGTGTCGAGAACTGATGTGGTGCTGTGCTCACATTGCTGGTAGTTGTACGCGGCGGTAAAAAAAAACATGCGCGACAGAGCATTACATAGCATAGAGAGTCCAGCGGCATCGAGCCCAGATGCTGTCGCCCGCTGTGCGTGTGTGTCGCCTGTTATGCGTGCGCTGTCTGCTGTGCGTGTGTTGTCTGCTCTGTGGTGTCGCCCGCAGTCCCGCAGTGCGTGTGTTCTCTGCTGCAATCCGCTGACAGTGTACTCCGAAAAAAAAAGTGCATCTGCTGACCCCTGTAGTCTAAAATCAAGTCATGTAGTCTAAAAACCAAGTTAAAGCGAACAGACACACGTGCAAACTTTTTATTCCTGACTAGAGCGGTATATTTCAGGCGAGACTAGAAATCTCGCTTCGCTCGAATAAAACAAGAAGCAGCCATAGTGTGGACGTCAGACACACCGTGGACGTGGCCTTGTCGTACTCGTAACCGTGCCCCGCAGCCGCCGTCACCACGAAATGTCCCGCGCTGATGTTGGCGTAAAACTCCGGGTACCTGTTTTTTTTTTCACAAAATAGAATTTTCTTGGAAGTCGGGTCCCTCGGCAAGACCATGTTCGATTTCTCTGTGCACCCTGAGAAACTAAATCACGTGGATCTTGCTTCCTAAAGTGGTGACAAGGGGACCCAAGTAACGATCATGTCACCTACACACCGATTCCTATTTGTGAAAGAGTGTGATCGTTCAGTGCCGGTTTAACTGCTTCGATGGTCAAAAGGGACTGCCCGCGCGCAAAAAATTCAGCATATTTATGAACTAGAGAGCCGGGGGGTTAGGTAGACCCCAACGCTAACCCCCGAAATCCCACCGATTGCCTACTTTCTACAACACATTCGCTTCACCAAAACCTGAGTAGCCCTACTGTTTCCCATACGCATGCGGGAAACGTAAGTAACGCGTGTGGAGTCTTACTCGAGGTGTCGCCATTCCGTCGTCCGCTGTTCCACGCACTGCATGGCACTGACGTCGTCGGGCAAGTCACCTCGCGCGCCCACCGCGACCAGCTGGTAGTTATCCCTGCCTGAAAGGTGTCGTTTCACCGTCATATCATCACCATCGTGTTCAAGGCGGCCGTTGGTCACCAAAAGGGAGGGAGGTTTTTCGTAACTTCTTGTTGAGTTAAAAACAACGCCAACAAGGGAAAACGCAGTGGCAGTGTCTATTTTACAGCATTGTCTATTAGTAAATTGTCAACGAATCAGAACGGCGAACCGGGAGAATCAAAAGCGAACGGTTGTAGGTATGTCGTGGGTACACAGCTGCAGAAGACGAAAATGCCAACAAGCCAACGACAACAGCTACAATACGTAAAAAAAAAAAACACCACACACACACACACACGCACGTGCACGTACATAAACAACTGATTGGATGAGAACGCCCGCCGCGTGGTAACTGTACCGTCTCACATGTCCACCTCACTGCTGTACATAGGACATCGTCTTCTTTCACCTGACGTAATTCTTGTCGACGTAGTGCTTCTCACCGATGCTATTTGCCGTTCTAACAGCGACCCTATCAGCGATTCTAACGGCGATCTTGTCAGCCATCCTTATCAGCGATCCTATCAGCGAAACTGTCATCATTTATTATGTGTTTCCGCACCGGTGGAGCACATAGCCTCAAGGCAGCGCGTCAGTTCCGGGTAGTTCCGTCGGTGGCTCTGCATGTTGCCCTGCCGTAAGACAACCGATTGGCAGAAAGGGGAGGGGGGCGACGAGATATACCGTCGATGGCTCTGCATGTTTCCCTGCCGTACGACATTCAATTGGCAGAAAGGGAGGGAAGGGGATGACATCGTCCCCTCGATGGCTCTGCAACTTTCCTTCCGTAAGACAATCGGTTGGAAGAAAGGGGGGAGGGGATGATATCGTCCCCTCGATGGCTCTGCAACTTTCCTGGGGCAAGACCATCCATTGGCAGAAAGGGGGGGAAGTGATGGGGACACGCAGTAAGCAGCTAGGCGGTGTTTCCCCCCCCCCAAAGCAACGATCATGAAAGTCTTCACCACCTCCGAAAAATGCCACACCATGTATCCGAATCCTGGCGTCCGAAAAATAATCAGGGGAGACGAACTTCGTTGTGCATTCGCCATCAAGAGCGCGAGGGCGGTGTGCGGAAAAGCTTGGCGGTCACGAAGATAGTAGAAAAGCGAGGGAATCGTAGCCTAACCCTAACCCTAACCCTAGCGCTAACCCTAACCCTAACCCTAACGCTAACCCTAACCCTAAAAGGGGTCCGCCGCTACGGCGGCATCTACAGATGCACACCTAAAAGCAATTCTCTGCGAACACCGAATGAGACCGTACCCAAGGAAGATGGTAACTTGCGTCCATACAGGAAGTAGTGGGACCACCAAAGACCAACGCCGTGCGACAACAAACGCCCCATCAAACAACCAGGCCACAAAAAAATCGTCCACCAGGATAGCTGAACCCTTCTCGCGATGAAACATCAAGGCAAGCACCGCAAGGGGGACGATGGGGCAATAAAACACACAAAAAACGAAAAAAAAGAAGCTCCCGTGTGACCTTTTCTTTTTTGTGACCTCGGCTGACACGTGAAGGTATATACGCCGAAAGGCCTGTAAACCATCTCCAGAATAGATGGGACGAACACACACACACCGAACACACGAGGATGGTGACCAGCTTCTGGTTCATCATTGTGCAACGTAACCTGGGCCGGCGAAAAATAATCGGCATAGGTATCGTCCCGTACCTGCCGGCATTGTAGGTAGCGAGGTCAATATGGTCCCAAAGACTGCGGCATGCGTTGTACGTGAGTAATCCCCCCCGGTCCTGTGGGAACAATGCTCCCTCCTCTCGAATACGCGTGGTCAGTGGTCAACCGCTATATAAGGTATGCATGAGAGTACGCCCCCCCCCCCCCCCCCCCCCGT